TCTATCTATCTATCTATCTATCTATCTATCTATCTATCTAATCTATCATCTATTATCTGTCTGCCTGTCTATATCTATCTATCATCCATTCTCTCTCTCTTTCTATCTATCATCTAGATAGATAGATAGCTATCATCTATTATCTGTCTGTCTGTCTGTCTCTGTCTCTGTCTATCTATCTATCTATCTATCTATCTATCTATCTATCTATCTATCTATCTATCTCATCTATTATTTGTGTCTGTCTATATCTATCTATCATCCATTCTCTCTCTCTCTCTCTCTCTCTCTCTCTCTCTCTCTCTCTCTCTTTCTCTCTCTCTCTCTCCATCTATCCATCTATCTATCTATCATTGAAGATAGATGAGTTGTGGTGGCATAGTGGTTAGAATGCAGCATTGCAGGCTGACTCTGCCCACTGCCAGCAGTTCGATCCTGACCAGCTCAAAGTTGACTCAGCCTTCCGTCCTTCTGAGTAAAACGAGTAATGCAGATCGCTGGGGAGGGCAAGAGGCTGACTCTGTAAAATGCCTCAAGAGAGGCCTTTAAAGCCCCGTGAAGCAGTCGTGAAGTCTGAATGCAATGGCTACTTGCCCTTTCGATCTAAAACTTGTCACACTTCGTAATGGGTTTATGGCCTGCTTCTCCCAGGCGCCTACGAGAACAGGACCATCTTCGAGTCCCTGGACATAGGATGGCAGTTGCTCCGGATCTTCCCCAAAGAGCTGCTGAAACGGATCCCGGAAAGCATCTTGGCTGAATATTACCCCCGTGAGGCCAAAGGGAATCCAGGCTCCGACACGGCCCTCTGAATCCCAGTCTAGTCCGAAAGCCTGATTCAGGAGGGAGCTGGCCTCCAACGTGGTGAGCCGATGAGGAAAAGACACCTATGGAAGCCCCTTTTCCTGCATTGGAATCGGATCCAAACTCCACTTGGCAGAGGTCCCCGAGTTCCCACGTTTTGATTTCCTGCTTGGCAGCTGTCCATTAAAAAAAAAAGGACCGCCCGCTTGCTTTTCGGGCTGCGAAAACAATTGGCGATACACGGTGTCCTGCTTCCGAATAAAAACGAACAAAGTTCTGAGAAGTTCTTCTGGGTGTAATCCCTGTCGCTCGACTTTGTTTCGTTCTTACACGCTCACCTGCTTGGCAAAAACTACAGGTAGTTCTGCACTTACAACAGTTCATTTAGGGCAGGGCTGGGCTGCTGGGGTTCACAGGGGTTCGGGAGAGCCCCTAGCTAAGATTCGGCACAATTCAGAGAAACCTCCCCCCCCTCAAATCCCATTCCTGGCTGGCCCCGCCCTCCCTGCCCCTCCCCTCCCCAGAGTCCCCACATGACCCGTTTTGGATTCAGGGAAGTGCAGGGGGTGCACGGAAGCTTGGGGAAGGTGAAAAAATGGGCCTCCCGTAAGTTCAAGAAGGCCGGAAATGGCCCCATTTCTGGCTTCCAGAGAGCCTCCGGAGCCCGGGGAGGCTGTTTATGCCCTCATGGAAACTCGAGGAAAACTTCCGGAGTCTGGGGAGGGCAAAAACGCCCCCCCCTCCAGTGGTGTAGGAGGCTGACTAGGCCAGGGGTCTCCAACCACCGGTCCCCAGACCGGTACCCATCTGTGGATCATTTTTTACTGGGCCGCAAAGCTTGGGCGCCGCCATCTTGTTTTGACGGTGCTTCCGGGTTTTCAGTTGGAAAGCGGTGTTTGGGTGCTCACGCCTTAGTTTTGTCGAAAGGGGGCGGGGCGGCTTCGAACGAAGAGCCGTCCCGATGGCGGTGGAGTCTCGCGTTACTCAGGTACCGGTCCGTGGAAGAATAAATAATCGTGAAACCGGTCCCTGGTTCAAAAAAGGTTGGGGGCCACTGGACTAGGCCACGCCCACCCTGGCCACGCCCACCCAGCAACCAGGCAGACAACCCCTTGGTAACATTTTGGAAGCCCAGCCCTGATTTAGGGTGACATGATAGCAGCCTTCCAATATTTGAGGGGCTGTTACAAAGGAGGGGGGGGTCAACCTATTCTCCAAAGCACCTGAAGGCAGGACAAAAAAGGTAATGAATGGAAACTAATCAAGGAGAGAAGCAACCTAGAACTAAGGAGGAATTTCCTGACTGTGGAGAACAATGAACCAGTGGAACCCCTTGCCATTAGAAGTTGTAGGTGCTCCATCACTGGAGGTTTTTAAGAAGAGATTGGACAGCCACTGGTCTGAATGGGCATTACAGTTCCCTGCTTCAGCAGGGGGTTGGACGAGAACAGTGGCCACCGACCAGTGGGCCGGGGACCACTGGTGGTCTGCGAGAAAATTTTGTGGTCCGCAGAGAAATGTCGCCCCCAAAGCAATTAATCCAGGCTGCGCAGGAACACAAGGCTTGTGTCACTTGCATAGCCAACAACAAGAGGTAGTGAGAGGAGGGGGGAAAGGGCAGAGGGGGGGAACTTGCCCCACTTGCCCCACACGCCTGGCCTGGCCACCGGGCTGCTTCTTTCTGCTTCTTTCTTCTGCTTTTGGCTGCACGCAAAGAAAGCAGAAAAAGTCTTTCTTTCTCTCCCCCAAACTCCGCACAGAAATGAGTCTTTGGGACCCTGCAAAGCATCCTGCTCCAAGAGGCTGCGCCGGCAAAGACTCATTTCTGGCAGAGTTTGGGGGAGAGAAAGAAAGACTTCTGCTGCTTCTGCTGCTTTTCTTGCATGAAGCCCAAAGTCTCTCCTCTCTCTCTCTCTCTCCACCACCACCCCACCCCCGAGAACGGAGCTGGAGACGGTATCCTGCAATCCTAAATAAAGAACGATCGATCGTAGGAAAACGGGGTGGGGAATTTTCCTGCAGACTTTTGGGGGGATTTTCCCAGGGTGTCTGGTCTGCAGGATTTAAAATTATGAGTTTGGTGGACTACAACAGGGGTCCCCAACCACTGGGCCGCGGACCGGTACCGGTCCGTGGAACATTTCCTACTGGGCCGCCGGTTTGCTGGGTGCCGCCATCTTGTTTGACGAGAAAGTGCTTCCGGATGAGCTTTTCCGGTTGGAAAACGGCGTTTGGGTCCTGAAGGAATCCTCGTGCCTTAGTTTCATCGAAGAGGGGGGGGGCTTGGAACGAAACTACGGCACAAGGATTCTTTCAGCACCCAAGGCAAGGCGAGCCGAGTGACCGTCCCGAAGCCGTCCCTAAGTGAAGCCCATCAACAAAGGTACAAAGGAGGAGTTGAAGGTGGTGGGGAGAAGCGGGGGACGGCTGGCTGGCCGGTCGCTCGGCTCGCCTTGCCTTGTCATGCGTGCTGATGCTGGTACCGGGCCGCGGATCATTTTGTGATGCCGGTACCGGGCTGTGGCACAAAAAAGGTTGGGGGCCACTGGACTACAAGACCTCCAAGACCCCCTGGACTACAAGACCTCCAAAGTCCCTTCCAATTCTCTTATTCTGTTATATACCGATGGCATTCCCATGTCAGTGCCGCTAGATGAATATTTATTCAGACCTATTTGAGTCTCTTGCAAAAACCTCCTTGGCAAATGAAGTTGTTGGAGCACCTGACCCTCTCCTGACCCTCATCCCCGGTTGGTCTAAATTTTGACCATTTCTTCTGGTAGTGCTATAACTAGTAGCTGTCTCCTTCCATAGATCTCACTGGTCTAACTGCAGTGACTTTGCTAGCATGAAATTCTCCCGTGCTTCTCCACCATTCGATGGATCGATGGAAGTGTGGAGTTTCTGCAGGAGCTGGACCACAAGATCCTAGATACAGATTACAGATAACCAGAGTTGGAAGGGACCTTGTAGGTCATATAGTCCAACCCCCCCACCCAAGCAGGAGACCCTTCACCATTTCTGACAGATGGCAGTCCAGTCTCTTCTTGAAAGCCTCCAGGGATGAAGCTCCCACAACGTCTGAAGGCAACTTCTGTTCCATGTGTGGATTGTTCTGACTGTCAGAAAATTTCTCATTTCTAGGTTGAATCTCTCCTTATTCAGTTTCCATCAATTATTCAGCTCCTTGCTTAAGTCCAGGGGCATCAAACTGCATTGCCTTGATGGCCGGATCAGCATTGTAGTTCTCCTCTGAGGGCAAGGAAGGAGGGCAGCAGGGTGCGGGATGGATGCCTCATGCAGCACCCTGCCGGCCAAAATGGGGCACGGGGGGGGGGATTTCACGCATGCCCCCCTGCACCTTGTTTTCACCCTCCAGCACTCTGCCAGCAATTTTGGGGCTCATTTTTGGCCCATTTTCAGCTGAAAAATGAAGTGCAAAGCCCCCCACACACACACACACATACAGCCCATTTATGCCACCAGAGGCACCGCAGGCCGGTCCTTTGATACTTCCAGGCCGGCCCCGTGGGCTGGATTTAAGCCTTGAGTTTGACAACCCTCCTTCAGTCCAACCAACCTTGGCAAAGGCCATGGGTGTGTTGGATGGCGAGGGAGACACCACCCTTTTGCTTCCCACCTCCTCCACTCTTCAAATCTCCCAGAAGCAGGAGTAGCATTCTACCGGTTCTGACCGGTTCAATAGAACCGGTTGTTATGATGCTGTGCAGTTCGGAGAACTGGCCAATCGTGCCCCCGGCTGGCCCCGCCCCCTCTCCGCCCGCTCCTCCCCTCCCAGTCAGTCCTTATTGTGCATGCGCAACATCGCGCGCGTGCCTGACAACTCTGACTGCGTTCTCCCCTGCCCAGTCACTCCTTAAGGTATTTCTTTTTTTTTCCCCACTCCTGACAATCAGCTATTCCTATGATCAGTTGTGCCAGGATCCTCCTCGCTGTCTTACTGCTTTGCCCAGGAGGCATCCCTGAGGCCCAGAAGGCCTAAAAAATGGGGGAGGGGGTGCTGCCCCCAAAATGAAGAAGCCACGCCCACACAGTCACATATCCACGCCCACCTGGCCACACCCACCTAGCCACGCCCACAGAACCGGTTGTTACAAAATTGGAATCCCACCCCTGCCCAGAACATATTTAAAATGCCTTCCCGTGAATCGCTTTGACGTCCAACTCGTCGAAGAGAAGAATTAGGGAAGACATGCCAGCTGTCTTCCAATAGAATACTGGACTGTTCAGAAGGTCCCATGGATGGAGAACCGTGGAAGAAAACACACGCACCATACAACCCTTGCTTGTAGAAACAGAGAATCAAAAATCACATGAAGTATTAGTAACTGCTTTATAAATCCTTAGTAAGGCCACACCTGGAATGCTTCACCCAGTTTTGGTCCCCACATTATGAAAAAAAGATGTGGAGATTTTGGAACAAGTGCAGAGAAGAGAAACTAGGATGATTAATGGCAGTGGTGGGATTCAATTTTTTTTACTACTGGTTCTGTGGGGGTAGCTTGGTGGGCGTGGTGTGGCTTGGTGGGCGTGGTGTGGCTTGGTGGGCGTGGCTTGGTGGGCGTGGCTTGGTGGGCATGGCAGGGGAAGGATACTGCAAAATCTCCATTCCCACCCCACTCCAGGGAAGGATAGTGTAAAATCCTCATTCTCTCCCCACCCCACTAACCTGCTTTCCAGCTCCGTTCTCCTGTGCAGGGCAACAAAGGAAGACCCAGCTGATCAGCTGGGACTCAGGAGGCAGAGAAGAGATGGGGCAGGGCCAATCAGAGGGGGTTATTCCGAACGACTCAAAATTTCCGCTACCAGTTCTCCAGAACCGGTCAGAACCTGTTGAATACCACTTCTGATTAAAGGTCTGTAGTCTGGGTCCTGAAGGAAAGGATGATGCGAACCACTACATCACCCTCAGACCCCATGTGATGACCCGGGGCATGACACAAAAATAACCAAGTCACAAAAATAGAAGAAAGTCCCTTTAATGCCTCCAACTTGGCCCCAACGTCCAATTATCCTCGGCAGGATATCAAACTCTTAAAGAAAACAGTTTACAGAGGAAGTAAATGCAGTCCCCACCCAAAGTAAAGTTAATTCGAAATTAAAAAAAAAAAACCAACACACCACACTGAAGGAATTACTACAGCAAGCCAGGAAGATTAATTGCAGACTTCTTCCAGATAACACAGCAACCACAGTTGGGAGGAAGCCAAAAAAAACACAGATAAGCTCCGACAAGA